TTTGGGAAGCACACACTGCAATTCTAGCCCTGAAGGTCTTTCATGTGTAATTTGATCCCCTCCTGCCAACCTGAACCATGAAGTCAACAAGCCCACGTGTTCCTCGACTCTGGGCTTTCTCCCCTGTATTTCCCTTTCAGAAGGGAGTAGCTTTAGGGAATGGTGGTTCTTCTCTGCTCCAGAGAATGTTTGGGTTTTTTGATTTTTGTTTTTTTGTTTCTTTTCTTTTTGAGACAGAGTCTTACTCTGTCACCCAGGCTGGAGTGCAGTGGCACTATCTCAACTCACTGCAACCTCTGCCTCCCAGACTCAAGCAATCCTCCTGCCTCAGCCTCCCTAGCAGCTAGGACTACAGACAAGCGCTGCCATGTCCAGCTAATTTTTTGTGTGTGTTTTTGGTAGAGACCGGGTTTCGTTATGTTTCCCAGGCAGGTCTGGAACTCCTGAGCGCAAGCGAACTGCCCACCTCGGCCTCCTAAAGTGCTGGGATTACTGGCGCCTGGCCTACTCTATAGAATTTTAAGAGGTTAAAACATCTTCTTAATAAATGTCCCCCAACCCCTCCAAAACAACAAACCAACCAATTCTGACAACAGTAGGTATCTAAGGTAATTCTTACCTTCAGACTAAAGATTACCCTTGTCAGCATATTTCTGACATTTTTACTTATACAAGGAAAAAAATATTTTATACTTTTTCTTTATCATGTAGGCTATTCAGACTTTTCCAATGTTGAGTGATTTCTTGATTTTAATTATTTTTTTCAATTGTCACAGGTTGGAATCTTTTCCTTCATTTGCCTTTCCTTGCATTTTTTTCCCTTTGCCTTTTTCTTTTTGCTCAGAGCAATGATCGTGCTTAGAAGGAGGTATTTGCTTTACATTTCATTATAATAGCCATCAAGTCACATCTTAAGTTATTCTATCTAAAAGGAGCTAATGTTGTTATTTATTCTTTTTTTCTCTCAAATGTAATGGTGTCTAGACTGTCTTCTGTGACATACCTGAAAAAAAACTTTCATCCTTAGCTACTTTCTGTTTATATTAAATTCTTTAGCCACTGTTCTCCAGAAAGCGTTCTTTATTTTGTTCAGGTATACACTGAATATCCTCGAAGAAATTGGTGGTGGCCAGAAGGTCAATGATGACATTATTGTCAACTGGGTGAATGAAACGTTGAGGGAAGCGCAGAAAAGTTCATCCATCTCTAGTTTCAAGGTAAATTTCTTTGTCTTCTGCTAGAGGCCATCTGAGCTCTATGCCTATCTGTATTGTTTTCATTATGTGTTCAAGTGACCTTCAGTGTTAGGTATTAGCGCCTCCGCCTCCCATTTCGATTCTGCTTAAATGACTCGTTGTTGTTTTGATGTTCATCAGCCATTTCGTTGATGAATTTCTCAATACTTCCCCCTTAATAGTTAATCATAAAAGCCCATCATTAAAAAAAATTTCAACTTTTATTTTAGATTTAGGGGTACATGTGCAGATTTGTTACATGGGTATATTGAGTGATGCTGAGGTTTGGGGTAGAAATAAATCCACCACCCAGGCACGGAGCATTGTACCCAGCGGGCAGTTTTTCTAGCCCTTGTCCTCCCC